GAGACCCATAGACACCATAGAGACCCATAGAGACCCATAGACCCCATAGAGACCCATAGAGACCCATAGAGACCCATAGACACACATAGAGCCCCATAGGGACACATAGAGACACATAGACACACATAGAGACCCATAGACACACATAGAGACCCATAGAGACCCATAGACACACATAGAGACCCATAGAGCCCCATAGAGACCCATAGACACACATAGAGCCCCATAGAGACACATAGAGACACATAGACACACATAGAGACCCATAGAGCCCCATAGAGACCCATAGACACACATAGAGCCCCATAGAGACACATAGAGACCCATAGACACACATAGAGACCCATAGAGACACATAGAGACCCATAGAGCCCCATAGACACACATAGAGACCCATAGAGACACATAGAGACCCATAGACACACATAGAGCCCCATAGACACACATAGACACACATAGAGCCCCATAGACACACATAGAGCCCCATAGACACACACAGAGCCCCATAGACACACAGAGTAACATAGAGACCCATAGAGACCCATAGACACACATAGAGCCCCATAGAGACACATAGAGCCCTATAGACCCCTATAGAGCCACCCCCAGACCCCCTGCAGACCCCCATAGCCCCCTATAGACCCCTATAGAGCCACCCCCAGACCCCCATAGCCCCCTATAGCCCCCCATAGCCCCCCATAGCCCCCTATAGAGCCACCCCATACCCCCCCACTGCAGCACCCATGGGTGCCCGCACCCACCGCGCGTGGCCATGAGCAGGGTCCCGTCCTCGCGCCCGTAGCGCCCGAAGCAGAGCCCGGTCACCACGTCCTGGGCAGGAAGAGGGGTTGGGGGGGGCTTTTGGGGGGCTTCGGGGGGGGGGTTGGGGGGTTTGGGGTGTTTCAGGGTGTTTTGGGGTGTTTCAGGTGGTTTTGGGGTGTTTCAGGGTGTTTTGGGGTGTTTCAGGCAGTTTTGGGGTGTTTCAGGTGGTTTTGGGGCGTTTCAGGGTGGGTTTGGGGTGTTTCAGGCGGTTTTGGGGTGTTTCAGGTGGTTTTGGGGTGTTTCAGGGTGTTTTGGGGTGTTTCAGGGTGTTTTGTGGTGTTTCAGGGTGTTTTGTGGTAGTTTTGGGGTGTTTCAGGGTGTTTTGGGGTGTTTCAGGCAGTTTTGGGGTGTTTCAGGTGGTTTTGGGGCGTTTCAGGGTGGGTTTGGGGTGTTTCAGGCGGTTTTGGGGTGTTTCAGGTGGTTTTGGGGTGTTTCAGGGTGTTTTGGGGTGTTTCAGGGTGTTTTGTGGTGTTTCAGGGTGTTTTGTGGTAGTTTTGGGGTGTTTCAGGGTGTTTTGGGGTGTTTCAGGCAGTTTTGGGGTGTTTCAGGCGGTTTTGGGGTGCTTCAGGGTGGGGTTTGGGGTGTTTCAGGGTGTTTTGTGGTGTTTCAGGGTGTTTTGTGGTGTTTCAGGGTGTTTCGGGGTAGTTTTGGGGTGTTTCAGGGTGTTTTGGGGTGTTTCAGGCAGTTTTGGGGTGTTTCAGGCGGTTTTGGGGTGCTTCAGGGTGGGGTTTGGGGTGCTTCTGGGTGGTTTTGGGTGTTTCAGGTTGGTTTGGGGGTGCTTCAGGGTGTTCAGGCTGTTTTGGGGTGTTTCAGGTGGTTTTGGGGTGTTTCAGGCTGGTTTTGGGGTGTTTCAGGATGGTTTTGGGGGGTTTCAGGTTGGTTTTGGGGTGTTTCAGGGTGTTCAGGGTGGTTTTGGGGTGTTTCAGGGTGTTTCAGGTTGGTTTTGGGGTGTTTCAGGGTGCTTTGTGGTGTTTCAGGGTGTTCAGGCTGGTTTTGGGGTGTTTTAGGGTGTTCAGGTTGGTTTTGGGGTGTTTCGGGGGTGTTGGGGTGTTTCAGGTTGGTTTCGGGGGATTTCAGGGGGGTTTGGGGGTGTTTCAGGCAGTTTCAGGGTGTTCAGGATGGTTTTGGGGTGTTTCAGGGTGGGTTTGGGGTGCTTCAGGTTGGTTTTGGGGTGTTTCAGGGTGTTGAAGTTGGTTTTAGGCTTTTCAGGTTGGTTTTGGGGTGTTTCAGGGTGGTTTTGGGGCAGTTTTGGGGTGTTTCAGGCTGGTCTTGGGGTGTTTTAGGGTGTTTTGGGGCAGTTTTGGGGTGTTTCAGGGTGTTTGGGGGTGTTTCAGGCTGGTTTTGGGGTGTTTCGGGGTGTTTCAGGGTGGTTTTGGGGTGTTTCAGGGTGTTTTGGGGCAGTTTTGGGGTGTTTCAGGGTGTTTGGGGTCAGTTTTGGGGTGTTTCAGGGCAGTTTTGGAGTGTTTCAGGGCTGTTTTGGGGCAGTTTCAGGGTGTTTCGGGGCAGTTTTGGGGTGTTTCAGGGCAGTTTTGGGGTGTTTCGGGGCAGTTTTGGGGTGTTTCAGGGTGTTTGGGGTCAGTTTTGGGGTGTTTTGGGGCAGTTTTGGGGTGTTCCGGGGTGCTTCAGGGTGTTTTGGGGCAGTTTTGGGGTGTTTCAGGCTGGTTTTGGGGTGTTTCAGGGTGTTTTGGGGCAGTTTTGGGATGTTTTGGGGCAGTTTTGGGGTGTTTCAGGGCAGTTTTGGGGTGTTTCAGGCTGGTTTTGGGGTGTTTCAGGCTGGTTTGGGGCAGTTTTGGGGTGTTTCAGGGTGGTTTTGGGGTGTTCCAGGGTGTTTTGGGGCAGTTTTGGGGTGTTTCAGGCTGGTTTTGGGGTGTTTCAGGGTGTTTCGGGGCAGTTTTGGGGTGTTTCAGGCGGTTTTGGGGTGTTTCAGGGTGTTTTGGGCCAGTTTTGGGGTGTTTTGGGGCAGTTTTGGGGTGTTTCAGGGTGTTTTGGGCCAGTTTTGGGGTGTTTTGGGGCAGTTTTGGGGTGTTTCAGGCTGGTTTTGGTGTGTTTCAGGGTGTTTCGGGGTGTTTCAGGGCAGTTTTGGGGTGTTTCAGGGCAGTTTTGGGGTGTTTCAGGGTGTTTTGGGGCAGTTTTGGGGTGTTTCAGGGTGTTTTGGGGCAGTTTTGGGGTGTTTCAGGGCAGTTTTGGGGTGTTTCAGGGTGTTTTGGGGCAGTTTCAGGGTGTTTCAGGGTGTTTTGGGGCAGTTTCAGGGTGTTTCAGGGCTGTTTTGGGGCAGTTCCAGGCTGGTTTGAGGGCTGTTTCGCGGTGCCGGGGGCTCACCGGGCTCTGCAGCACCGCCACCAGGCTCCTCCCCCGGTAGAGCCGCAGCTCCCGGGTCTCCAGCGCCAGCAGCGCCAGCGCCGCCCCCCCCGGCAGCCGCCCCCCCGCCAGCGCCGCCGCCCCCCCCGGCAGCCGCAGGGTCCAAAGCCGCCGGCCCTGGGGCATGGGGGGGGGGGGGGGGGTCAGGGGGGGGTCCAAGGGGGGGGGGGGTCCAAAGGGGGGGGGAGGGTTAAAAGAGACCCAGGGAGGGTCCCAAAGGGTCTTGGGGGGGGCATGGGGGTCCCAAGGGGGGTTGGGGGGGGGTCTCAATGTGGGTTGGGGGGGTCCCAAGGGGGGCTTGGGGGGGGAGAAATTGGGGGGTGCAATTGGGCTCTGGGGGGGGGGCCCAAAGGGTCTTGGGGGGGGCATGGGGGTCCCAAAGGGGGTTGGGGGGTGGGTCTCAATGTGGGTTGTGGGGGGGTTGGGGGTCCCAAATGGTCTTGGGGGGGGAGAAATTGGGGAGGTGCAATTGGGCTCTGGGGGGGGCCCAAAGGGGCTTGGGGGGGGTTAAAGGGGGGGGTTGGGGGGTCCCAAGGGGGGTTGGGGGGGTCTCAATGTGATATGTGGGGGGTTGGGGGTCCCAAGGGGGGCTTGGGGAGGGAGAAATTGGGGGGTGCAATTGGGCTCTGGGGGGGGGGGTCCCAAAGGGTCTTGGTGGGGGGAGAAATTGGGGGGTGCAATATGGGCTCTGGGGGGGGGGTCCCAAAGGGTCTTGGTGGGGGGAGAAATTGGGGGGTGCAATTGGGCTCTGGGGGGGGGGGTCCCAAAGGGTCTTGGTGGGGGGAGAAATTGGGGGGTGCAATTGGGCTCTGGGGGGGGGCCCAAAGGGGCTTTGGGGGGGTTAAAGGGGTGGGTATGGGGGGTCCCAAGGGGGGTTGGGGGGTCTGTGGGTTGGGGGGGTCCCAAGGGGTCTTGGGGAGGGAGAAATTGGGGGGTGCAATTGGGCTCTGGGGGGGGGGTCCCAAAGGGGCTTGGGGGGGGAGAAAAATTGGGGGGTGCAATTGGGCTCTGGGGGGAGACCCAAAGGGGCTGGGGGGGGGGGGCATGGGGGTCCCAAGGGGGTCTGGGGGGTCCCAAAGGGTCTGGGGTTGGGGAGAAATTGGGGGGTGCAATTGGGCTCTCAGGGGTCCCAAAGGGGCTTGGGGGGGGTTAAAGGGGTAGGGGGGGGGGCATGGGGGTCCCAAGGGGTGTTGGGGGGGGAGAAATTGGGGGGTGCAATTGGGCTTGGGGGGGGGGTCCCAAAGGGGCTGGGGGGGGGCATGGGGGTCCCAAGGGGGGGTTGAGGGGGGTCCCAAAGGGTCTTGGTGGGGGGAGAAATTGGGGGGTGCAATTGGGCTCTGGGGGGGGGGGGTCCCAAAGGGGCTTGGGGGGGGTTAAAGGGGTCGGGGGGGGCATGTGGGTCCCAAGGGGTGGTTGGGGGGGGTCCTAAAGCGTCTTGGGGGGTGCAATTGGGCTCTGGGGGGGGGGTCCCAAAGGGGCTTGGGGGGAGGGGGTTAAAGGGGGTGGGGCATGGGGGTCCCAAGGGGGGTTGGGGGGGGAGAAATTGGGGGGTGCAATTGGGCTCTCAGGGGTCTCAAAGGGGCTGGGGGGGGGGTTAAAGGGGTGGGGGGGGGCACATGGGGGTCCCAAGGGGGGGTTGAGGGGGGTCCCAAAGGGTCTTGGGGAGGGAGAAATTGGGGGGTGCAATTGGGCTCTGGGGGGGGGGTCCCAAAGGGGCTTGGGGGGGGTTAAAGGGCTCCGGGGGGGGGGCATGGGGGTCCCAAGGGGGTCTGGGGGGGGGAGAAATTGGGGGGTGCAATTGGGCTCGGGGGGGTCCCAAAGTGGCTGGGGGGGGGGCATGGGGGTCCCAAGGGGGGGTTGGGGGGTGTCCTAAAGGGTCTTGGGGGGTGCAATTGGGCTCTGGGGGGGCCCAAAGGGTCTGGGGGGGGGCATGGGGGTCCCAAGGGGGGGTTGAGGGGGGTCCCAAATGGTCTTGGGGGGGGAGAAATGGGGGGTGCAATTGGG